TCTCTCTCTCTCTCTCTCTCTCTCTCTCTCTCTCTCTCTCTCTCTCTCTTCCGCGCGCGCCAATCTTATCTGCTTAAAATCAAATTCTTGCATGAGACTTTTGCGCTGCGAGGCATGAAGTGTCCTGCTTTTGACTCCAGATTGCATGGCCGTTCGACGGAGAGGTTTGCGGGAACTAAAGCGATGAAAAAATGATTTCGGGAAATTTAACTCCAGATACTGCGAAAAGGCGACGAGATTTAATGATGCGATAAAGTGAGAGAGAGAGACAGAAATGTGTGGCGAGCAGGGTAAACAGCGATCTCTGCTAAACTATACTAGAGCTATAATGAATTTTCTTAATAGCAGCAAAATTTCTTGATAACAATTAAAGTTCAGTAATTTGGCGTGTTACGATATTTTGCCCTTCGCGCGAGTTTGCATAATTTGGGCCGCGAAATTTCAAGGTTTACCGTGCCGAGTGAGTATTCCGCGCGTCTCAATATAGCCGAAATTTCCGGCAGAAGAACGTTGATTCTCTCTCTCACACCGCCCTCATAATCTCAGCCACGCCTGTGTAGTAATATGAATCGCGGCAAAAATCAGAACCGGGGGGGTGGCTCTTAGCGCGTCGCCCGTAGCAGCCCCTGGGTTTTAAGATATGCAGAGCACAACGCACGCTTTCCTAGCGAGACTATTTTAATACGAATGAGGGTGGGAGGATCAGACGAAATGCGCGCGCGATGGTGCGGCGGCCGGGCCGGCTCGGAAGATCTACTTCTTGATTACAGAACTTTTTACCTAATTACATAACATTGTTACCATTTACAAAGTCGCGTCGAGTCTGCGCCGGCTGACTACTAATTAGAATCCTCGATTAGCACCCGCGGCGACATCGTATTCCATTTCGATAAGTCTCGCGACATTTTCGCCGGTTTCTCGTAATAAAAGGGGTTGCGAGAGACCGCGCGATAGGGTGATTTTTAATATTGCCACGCCGGTAATAATACATAATTGAATGCGTCATGTTTGGAATGTATAATGTTTTTCTATCCAAGTAAATGAAGATGCAGATAATTTGAAAACAATCAATACTGTAAAAATTGTAACAATCGCGCTTATATGAAATTTATATTACTATTTAGTTGTAAGTTTTCGTACAATTTTCTGTCAGATATTATGAGATATTCTTATAACAAATCTCTTCATTTGTATCCTGCCATCGAGACGTGCTATTTTTACAAGAAAATGTGAGGTCGCAAAAAATATATATATATATATGTGACACATGACTGACAAACTACCTTCGGGCGATAAAAATTTGAATCCCATTTTTCACAGACGTTCGCAAATAATTAGATATACCGAATCGCGCCAGACTAGCGCGTCGGAATTCAAAGGTCTTTCGAAAGAGTCGAATTTATCCCCGAGACTTAAGGTTCTTATCGAAAAGATGTAAGGGTCGTGGAAAGATAGTCATGCGCGAGGGACGAGCTCTCCCGACGATGCAGACATTAAGACGTCTGGTCCTCGACCTCCGGCTTACCGCCCCGCGCCAACCCCTTGGCGAGCGGGCGCGCGGCTCGCCCCCTTTAGACGACGGGAGGTTTACCCCGTCTTCATTGTCCTCTAATTCTCATCTGATCCTCACATTACGTAATTTTCTCTTTATTATTTTATAATTCCCCGGGTCTCGGAGCCCCGGGCCCGCGCCGCGCTCATCCGACTTCAGGTCCGCGCACGAACTCATCCCCCGCAACGCATACTAATGCACCCTGCATTTATTAATTATTCCGTGCTAGTTACCCCGTCGCTTCTCGTCTCGCCGTCGCAATGATAGATTAAACCACCTAGATTCGGGAAGCCCCGCGATGCGAATCCCGCTCGTCACCGTGATGATACGTGCTCGGAAATTTTTTCCTTCCGCCGAATCGATAGAGGCCGGAGTATTCGCTCGCTCTGCTTCTCAGTTCATCACAATACCCAAATTACGAATTACGGATAACAATGAAAATTTCGTTCGACACATTAGGGGTATTCAAATAAGTTAAAGTTTAACGGTTTGACAGGTTATGCCTGGTTAAAGTCGAGTAAAAAGTTAATTAATTAACTTTGGGCGCGCTACTCTTTAAGGTTATGCAAAATACATAAGTGACACATTAACCTATCACATTAATCTTTGGGTTAAAAGTGTAAAAATTAACTTTTTACCCGACTTTAACCCGACATAACCTGTCAAACCGTTAAACTCTAACTTATTTGAATACCCCTATTGTTAATTGCATCTGTCAAAATTATAAATATGTTATTTACGATTTTATTGTTACGTTTTGAAATTTTTATTTTTATAGATAAAGATTAATTGTAAGATAAAAAATATATATTCCGAGTCAAATCGCGCTTTCAAGTTAAAGAAAATTCGCTTTCTTAAGATATGTTGCTTACAATCTGCATCTTAACTCTATTAGAAATTACCTTAGAATTTACTAGAAATTATCCTTTGAATTTACTTTGAAAAGGATTCGCTGATGTTAGTTGCTAAGACGCTGCAGGGTGAATATCATTCACGGCGTCCGAGAATTCATGGTAAAACGTGCCGTCTCTGAATAGAAATCAAGCGGCGATCGAGCGACTTTTGACGAGCTCCTAAAACCCAGTTCGCCGTACTTCGTACGTGATATTTGAAGATACAAGCGCGACTACCCTACGGGGGGAACATCCCCCAAGATCTTTAACTCCGCGGGTCCTGAAGGGCTCCGGGCATTCCCACTTGGTATGCACGGAGAACAGCCATTCATCTCCCGATCTCCGGCATAGTCTCGACCTCCGGATATAAATTAGCTTTTGTTTAGCATTCAATGCGAGGCGCCTTTTCCGACGCGTCGGACCGATCTACCCGCCGCGCAACCCCCGTGATTAGGCATCCACCTGACCAGCAATCCGCTGCAATTAATGTAGCCACCTGCCTCTCGGTTAAAGCCAATTAAACGTTTGCGATTGCCGTGAAAAGAAATTGCTCCTCGGATGTTAAA